GGAGGTTTCTTCCGTTAAAGGGAGTTTTTCCTCCCCACTGTCGCCAAGTGCTGCTCAAGGGGGATTTGTTGGGTTTTCCCTCTGTAATAATATTGATAACAGTAAGGTCTAGACCTTACTTTGTAAAGTGTCCTGAGATGACTTTTGTTGTGATTTGGCGCTATACAAATAAAATTTGATTTGATTTGAAAGTTGTGAATATATTCATGAGGATTGAATGAAAACGATGAAAATAAAAATAAACAATTTTGCAGCATGTTAGTGTTTTTATGTTGAAGTATAAACCGAACATATGTACGTCATTGCAGAGCCGTTCTCTATACATAATACATGGATTACCCGGCGTGTCCGTCCATCCAAAACATAAAATACTTCAGTACTCATCCATTCCAGTGGCCCCGCTCCATGTGTCTGTTACGGGACGAGCCGCTAACCACGCCGCCTGTGCGCAATGTCCTTCAATAACTCTTTGTACGTAGCATTAAGTCAGAATCGACGTACGTCAGATATTTTGCGTAAACATCCACAACAAACATGGCGGACGGTAAGTTCATTGTTCACTATTGAGCCTGTTTTTCATGAATTTTACTCTATTTCAGTTTCTGTGCTACGTGTTTTCGGTTGGATTTAATGCTTTTATGACGCGGTTTCAGCCCCAGAGGTCAATATCAGCCGTTAGAGAGCTATTTACCAGGTGGAGGCTGTTGGTGTGAGGCTAAGCTAACTTATCGCCCTTCACAACGATGTGCGGTTGGACCCAAGATTTTTTTAATTAAAGTGTTTTTATTCATTTTTATCCCATCATAGGATGTTAGTAAATGTTTGTACAATTACCGGAAGACTGAGTGATGTAGACTGAAAACGTCAAAACCCATTTGAGATTTCGTTTTATTGACGCGCTCTGTTAGCGAGCAGACACAAAGTGGCATAAACTTTTCAGTGATTTTACTTATTTGTCTTTTCATTTTAGACAAATAAATTAGTGTTTATAATGTCTAATGTTTCTCGGAGACGTTTGCTAATAAAACACACCTCTGCTGTTCTGATTAGAGCTCTGTCAAACCTAATTCATTTTAGAGACCTAGCTATTTACAAACGTGAAGATAAGGTCGGTCACACATCGTCAGGCTTTGCTGTGAATACGACGTGATGCAGGTCAAACCGAGCGGCGTTTCATTTAACCTTAGCTAAGTCTAAACCTGGAAGTAACGTAACCGTACTCAGTTAAAAAACCACCAGTTTAGGGACATTGGAATCTGCAGGGGTGAACCTATTGATCTCTCGGTCATTTTGATTATTACCGCTGTGGTGATCAATCATCGGTGAATACTAACAGCTTAGAAATATGGATGGTTTCTGGAAACTGTTATGTCACTGTCGCTGTAGTTATTTCCGCGAATGAAAATGTAGATGTTAAAATTTCTAGTTTGTTACGTGGGTGGAAATTCGGGCTGATCTTAGAAACAGAGGTTCATCATGTTGATCATCAGAATCATCATCTCTAACATTAGATCTCACCGGCAGGTCTCGGTTCAGTTCTGCTGCTCAGACAAAGTAAGACCTAAATAAATCAGCAGTAAACAAAAGCCTGTAAATACTTTTGTTTGTTCTGCAGATCACACAGATGCGGATCAGTCCATGGAGGGACACACACCTGTGAGTAGCACAAACAGTACACAAAGTAGGTCTACAGTAGACAGTACTACACGGTACTGTTCTGTGTACATGGTGCTGTTAAAGGAGCAGTACAACATTTAATGAAACAGACATTTAGATGTGTAAATGTCAAAGTGAACTTAAAGTGAACTGACTGTTGTTTGGATTAAGTTTTTTTTCTGTTTTGCTCAGATTCTTTTGATCAAGTGTATTTGTATAGTCAGTGAACATGAATCCTCCTGCAGGTGTCTGAAAACCCTCACGCAGAGTACGGCCTGACGGACAACATCCAGGTAACACACACACACACACACACACACACACAGTGCAAAGAGAAGGTGGAGGCAGACTCCCACCATGCTTTGCTTTGCTGTTGCTCCTCAGAGGACGGTGGAAAACGAGAAGGCGAGCGCAGAGAAGATCTCAAAGCAGAAAGTGGATCTGCAGGCACTGCCGACCAGAGCGTACCTGGACCAGACGGTGGTCCCAATCCTGCTGCAGGGCCTGTCGGTGCTCGCCAAAGAGAGGTCGGTACACCACACGTGGAACACAATGTGCTATTAAAGGATAAGGGGGAGGTGACAGTGGTGCAGTGGGTACAGCAGTCATCTCCCAAACGGAAGGTTGAAGGTTCAAATCTCAGTGCCTGCAGTCCACATGTCGAAGTGTCCTTGGGCAAGACACTGAACCCCCCAGAGCCATCGGTTGAGTTGGCACCGCAGATGGCTGCCTTGGTTCTGTACTGGAAACAGATTCCTTGTGTGTAACATACTTGGCCAAATAAAGGTGATTATAAGGTGTCATTTTCTGTATTAACAGTATTTTTAAGTCCCCGTACCAGTGAGCTGCCTCTGCTCACAGTTAATTCATCCAACCCTGGCTTAGCTTGTTCATCTGTGCCAAGACTACCAGTGATAAACATTTATGAAAACTATTTGTAAATGTTCCAAGAGGTCATTGTGTTTGCAGACTGTGCATGGCCTGCCTGTGTCGTCCTGCTCATCGGAGGCTCTCATTTCTCTTTCAGACCTCCAAACCCCATT